CTTTAATAAAGATGAATAGCGAGACTCAGACAGAAATGTGCACATCAGAGAGTCCAGTCTGTCTTTCTTCGGATCAAATTCTCTCATCTCTGTGCTTCTTGATGCCTCATCACATGCTTCTGAGTATTCTCTTAGGATATCATCACATGAATCCTCAAGTCTGTTTGCATCACTAAGGGAGCGAAGCACCCTTTTCAGCTTTGCAGTGGAGTTTTCTTTGTCTTTTGCCATGCTCTTTGGATTTAAGCATCCCATATTTCTCACAAGTGCATACTTAAGCGGACATCTGTCAATGAGCTTGCAGGTCATTGCAGCAAGAAACTGTTTTGCTTGGACGCGAAATTCCAGAATCCTTCGCTCCATGATGATGTTTTTTGCTTTCAGATCCTTTAGCGTTTTCTTGGTGTAGAATCCAATATCGACCTTGGACAAAGGCAGCTGAATGGCCTCGCTGCTAATATCTACCTGCATTATCTTGTAAGGAGAAGTAAGGGTACTTCTGCCAAGTTTTAAGAATTGCTGCATAAGGGAAGCAAGCATTCTGGTTAGATCTTCGGCTAAGAAGGGCAACACTGGCGCATCAGTTTGGTAGTCTGTTAGAAAGGGATTGACCAACTTTTCCACAGATATGAAAAATCTCAGTCTTGCTGGAAAATCAGCCATCTTGGTACACTTCTGAACGGTTTCAAACAACTTGTTCTTTGGGTGAGAGATTTTCTTCTCTTCAACTGCCTTAACATACGTACATACATTCTCCCAGATGTTGATCGCTCTCTCTGCAATGGGAAGATCTTCCAGCCATCGAGTCTTGCAAAACTTGAGTGACATGGTATGATCTCCAGTTATCTTCTCATAATCCTCTCTTCTGGCTGGGGCATCAGCAAACAAATAATACAAGGATGATAGGAAGCTCTCTACCTCCCACCTGTTAGAAAAGCACCATCATGGAGCCTGCACGAGCCCATGTTGAGTACGGAACGGTTCACTTCCGATTTGTATTCTCTTGACAAATCATCATACATTTTCCAATTTACATTCGGACCATCCATACTAATTTCTGATTGAGACTTTCATCAAATAGAATGGCATAATGGGAGGATTTCTTTATGTTGTCATACAGGAGATCTTGCACATATGGCCCCAAACCAAACAGTCATGTATCTGCATTTTGTCTCTGACAATTGGAACCCTTTTGCAATTGCTGAATTTGGGAACATTCTTTGAAAAAGGTCACTATTGTGCTGACAGGAATGAAATGATAAATGGTTCTCAACCACTTTCAGGCACCAGAGTATTTCTCCTTTCAATGTATCCTCTCTGGCAGCAACAGGAATGGGAGATGTCACTTTGGAGGTTGATGGAGCACAAGTACTCGGCATTGCATCTGAGTGGTAGAACATTCTCCTTTGGACTTGAAGAAGATCTTTATTGTGAGAGTAGATGAGCCTTGAGGATAAAAAAAAACATAAATCAAAGTGGTAAATTTGACAATATGAAACTGAAAAAAAAAATCAAATGGGTACTACTGTAGTATTAAAATCCAATTCTGAGTTTTCTTGAGAATAAAAAATATTCTAATTCTAGATTTTTTTCTCTTTTATAGTCTATAGTGTATATCCTGAAATATTCCATAATAATTGACAGGATCTTGTAAAACTTTATACAAATTTCAAAACAAAATGAGCTTCCATCTGTGATAAATTGCAATTTTGGTCCTTCTTTCAATCAAGTAATACAATTTTTAAATCCATTTTTACCATTATGAAAAACAATTCTTCTGAAGTACTTCAATTCAAATAAATGTGTAATTGAACTTCACAGTCAGTTGACTTGATGGGTGTGTACACTTAGCACACATTAACTAGTAACCAAATAATAATATTTCACTTTCTATTTTCGTAACATATTTTTACATGATACAAAATGCTCTTGTTGTACAAAAACAAGTTGGACATCAATCTGAGTCTGAGATTCTGAGAGTGGTACCAACAAAATTTTAACTTGCAGTTTTCGTTTTACTCCTCTTCCCTTCTACATAATTTTGCTGTGTTTTTAAGCGAGATAAATTCTGCACAATACCTCTGAAATTGTGAAATTTTGTTGAAAATTTGTCAACAAATTACTGAAATAATTACTTCTGATTTTCCAAAACTACAATTTTCAATCGTCTCTTGGGTGCCGCCATCTTGGATAGTTATAGAGATCTCGTGATAACGAGTTGGTATACCGTACGGAATTATGATTTAAAACCTTGATTTTACTACCAAATCTTTCAATTTAGAGGAAATATGTTTGTTTGGATAGCAAAAGATGAGCAATGCAATATTTCCAAAAGAAATGTAAACTTACCGCGTTGTTTGAATAGCTTTGTCTTGTGTTTTTCACTCTTCATGTGGCTCTTGATGGCTGCTTCACCCATGTTGCTGAGACAGAAATTGCACATGCACACAGCACATCTTGCAGTCGACGGATTTGAGCTTACTTTCATAATCCACTCACAATAAACGGGGTGCTCTAACCAAGCATCATTGAAATGACAGTTCCCTGGCATTTTGATTTTCACTTTCAAAAACTGTAGTAGTCAAAAGTCACAAAAATATTGCGAAAGAATCACCGTTAAATGCCAAGATGGATGTGAAAATAAAACAGCAGCGCGAGACAACATGTAATGTAACAACACACGTCCACGATCAACGACACGTATGTACACGTGTATAGCCAGATAGCGCTAGCGTACATGCTAGCCAAATTGGGATTTTTAAATTATTGGTACGTTAAGGGCTTGTGAATTATTTTATTTGTATTGAAATTATCGAAGCAGGTCAGAAAAAAAATACATATAACATTTTCTGTTTATATCTAAGTACAAATTATAATTCTCTTTCTAAAGGGATTTTTATCGTTTCCACGGAATTCAAAATAGTATATCTGGCAACACTATGACATCGCGCCTATGGCCTGCATGTGCATGCAATTGCCACGTGCACATTGGCAATACACACGGCGCACACACACACAATGCATATGGACCCAAATGCATGCAGAGATCGAGACAGCAGCACACACATAATACTCATATAGGCACGCATGCAAGTGATGAACTCGTTTCCACAATCAATCGGCAAATGTTACGACTAAAAGAAAACACGGGAAGAAAATGGTTGAAATATCTAAATTTATTTATACTTCTAGTGAAAAAAGGAATGAATTTTCACAAATTTTGATATTCCATGACTTTTTAGTCAATGTATCAATTTTCCCTGACTTTCAGGGCCTGAAAAATATGAAAGTAAAATTCTATGACTTTCCAGGTTTTTCATGACCCATACGAACCATAACACCCATGATGTATCTTGTACATTTTCCCCACTCCCTCTCTTCTCCTTTATCTGGATCTTCCTTCCTACCCAAGACATCAATGGCTAGGGGAATTAACTCCTCTTTTTGCCTAATTTCCTTCCTTTCATTTCCCATCTTTATTCTCGTCCTGATCTGGATCGATTCCTATGTATGGTCTGTGATCATCGTTTTTCTATTGCCTGTATGGCTTCTTTCCATGGTGCCCACTCCTGCCTCTTTATTCCTAGGCAAGTTTCTTCCAGTCGAGATCTTTCTCCTTCCACCCTCATCAGTTGTGTTTGGCTTTTGATCCCATTGGCTTAGTCCTCTTTAGTGTCTTCTTCCTGGACTTTGTTCCAAGTGTCTTCTTATCAGATTCAACATCCTTACCTTTTCCCTGGCATCTTGTCTTTGTTGGCCATTGGGAGGACTCCTATATTTGGGTGTGAGGACTATACCCTTATTTGTTCGTCTTCCCTTATCTACATCATATTGCAGTTTCTTCCTCGTTGGGTTTTTGTCTACCACTAGTGACCGTTTTTCATACTTCAGTGCAACTCAAACTGGTTAAGTTTCTAGTCATTATTTCTTTCCTTTGAGAGGCCCTTGCTTCATTATTCACTATTAGGATCCCACTTTGTGGCAAGCAGTGCCTGACCAAGTATCCTTCAATTGAAATCCACACTGTATAGCCATGTTGAATTGTGCTCTCTTCCATGGCTTCACAATGCTCACCGGTGAGATGGGGAGGTCCACAAGATTGCTTGAAAGTGAATAACCTCACAATGGTTTTGCTTCATAAACATGTCCTTTCTGGACTATCCCACCCATGGACTGCATGGGCAAAGCAGAAGGGGATAGCTGTCCATCCCTGCCATGCTTTGATTGAATAAATTTGTATAGTTTAATTTTCAAAATAGGGTTTCCATTGCACTGTCTCCAGTGATGACATTCTTCCAGACTCTCCACCGCATATTTACTCTTCTTTCTTCTAGTGGAATGTGCGAGTTTTTACCACTTTCCAGTTTCAAGCCATTGGTGTGGTTGACCATGGAGATAACCTTCTGAATGGGTTCCACAAAAAGATGGCTATAACCATTCAGTTGAGTGTAGGGCGGGGGTGTTTTGTTGAGGTAGAAGAGACATGGCCTCCAGAGGAGTTGAGCTGTCACCATGCTGGATGATGTTGCCTCCTGATAACAATTACACAACCACTGGAGTTGAGCCATTAAAAATGTTGTTCACCCATTCAATTGGGATCCCTCATTTTACTGCCACATGGATGTTGGTACCATGTAGCCTGGTGTTGGATTCAGAATGAACCAATCGAGTTCTCACACAGGTTTCAGATTGTCTATTTTCCTTCCTTGATATCCTCCACCTGTGTTGTGTGTGGGTCACAGCAGTGGTACATGGAATCGTTCTGGTTCTCTCTTTGGCTATCCCTCATTCTCTCTTCTTACGGGATGTTATTGCCATTTGGAGGGTCCTGGCCTGTTTCACAGCATGTGATAGACGTCCTTTCGATATCAAATGTTAAGTTCCTGGATCAAGAACTCAGAGCTAATCCTTGTGTCATACTCAGGAATTGGAGTGGTTCTCAATTCCTCAGTTCATGGGTTTCAGGTGAAGATGGTATGATCCTCATTCTACCCTTGCACGAATCTCAGTACTTTGCAATCAGGTTTTGAATGTAGTTCACTAACTGAGTACAGTCTGCCATGCCCTAGCCACTCTACATCCAGGGGCACATCCTTGTTTACCCACTTTTCTCATTGTGGGATTGAGTTACAATATCTTTCTCTCATTAGAATCACTTTCCTATCATATGCTCTCCCACTCGGATGTGCTCCTCTTATTTTCCATCCTGATATCTTACACAAAGAGTATACCTGGCTCAGAAGTGGTGTGGTTCCCCTCTTCAGATCTGACTCTCTCATCTACGGAGATATCCTTCAGAAGCTTTTGGAGGAAATATCTGCTCTTCTCTCACACCAGTCCCTCCTCATAATCAATGTGGGATTCTAGCTAATCTTGTGAGAAGAGGAAAGTATTGTATTGGAAGTTATAATTTTCCTATACTGAAAATGTATTTTCGATAAGTACTTTTTCTGCTCACACTTCCCACCCTTCCTCCCCACACACTTCTGGTGCTTCCATTTTTTGCCAAACTTCATAGTGATTTGCTATAGTACATGTAACATGTCTCCCATATAAAGTTATAATTTTCCTATTCTGAAAATGTATTTCCAACAGGTACTTCACTCCACTCACAAGATTAGCTATTCTCATTCATTGCTACCCCCTATAAGCAAACTTTTTATTTACGCATGCCACAAGCCTTCTGCTCCCCCCCTATTGGAACCAAGTGATTCCAATGTGTCTTTCATGTAAATCTTATTAACTTATTGCTCTAACTGTATTGATGTTGCATACCATATATTTATGTATAGGGTCCCTGCCCTTTCGGACATGACACTGTTGACAGGATCACAGTTGTTTTACCACAGCATGATCGATTTTGACCATGTTACATAAATGCCTTAAATATTAGACAAATGTCTAGGCTGTCTCACACAGCAGAAATCTTTAAGACATAGTTTAAAATAAAGCACCAAGTTTAATATTGGATCAACAATCCTGTTGATGGCTGATGGTAAGTGTCAAATTATATTCAACACTGCATGATTGCATATTTTATAGATACTGCAGATAGAGTAGCAATCCTTGAAGCTGACTACAAGAAGTGGCAAGAATTGTGAAAGCAGGAAGTGGTGAAAATTATGGCAGTTATAGATGAAAGTGAGGCAGAAATTTTGTAGCTATATATTCTATTTAGAAAGTATGCAATTTCAGATAAAGTATGCAGCAGTGATGATCCAACAGAGTTTAGGGTTGACATAGTGGAAGAGGGTCGTAGAAGTGTCATGACCCAAACTCCATCAAATATGGAAGGGGGGGAGGTATATTAATATAATCAATTCATAATTGTTACATAACATGTTTTTGATCTTGTAGAGTGTGCAGAATTTCACTCTAAAAGGAAATATGGCCAGCTGCAGAAAAATATTTACCAGCCTTACTATGACCAGCAAGGAGGAGGAGGAAGATAAAGGGGGAAATATAACAACCATAAGAAATATTAAAAATGCTTATTTGTATACATATCCTATTGTATTATGACACGTTTTCTTATATTTGTATTTAATATACATGCATGCATCTATACAACTTGAAAATTCATACGGGGAATAGGGATCTTCAAAAAATTACAGAAATGAGATAGGTAGCTTAAAGTGAAAATCAATTGCAAAAATATAAGCTTAAGGTTTGAGATATAGTGATGACATTATTTCCTCAAGCTACAAATCTCTATTTTGACCCTATGTCTAAAAGCTGTAATATTTAGGAGAGTGACTCTATTACCCATTGCAGTACCACTGAGTTGGAGATATAGTTTGTTGTCAAGATGAAAATATCCATTGGGAAGGATGAAATTTGAGATATCACTGGCAGTCTGTTGTCAGTCCATACATTTCCAAGTTATTTATGTGATTCAACATCAATTCATACACTGCATTGATGCCATCCTCTGTTTGTATAGATGGGTAGTGAGCTACAATGTCTATTGTAAAGAGTATTTTCATGTTTGTCAGTCATTAAAGTAACATCAAGAAAATCTCTACTCCTTTTGTCCTATGAGTTATTCAGGGTGAATTGGAATTTTGAAATATAAACTTTTGATTAAGAAGCCCATGGTTCATGTATGATACATCCTTAATTCAAGATAGCATGTTTTGTGTATTATTTAAGAGTGCCAGAACATAATTTAATATTGACACTAAAATCCTATGCATAAGCCAGAACAGACTTTCAGTAGCACTGCCATATGCTAAGACTATGAGTCTTAGTGGCATATCTGGTTTGTTCTTTTGGTAAACCATATAATTCTGGAATGCAGTTATTAGAGTTTAAGTTCATCTAGAAACTTCTTAGGGAGGCTACTTGTTTTTGTAAGTTCATAAATAATCTCTTTAGCTTTTGTCTCAATTTTTTTGGTCAGGTCACTGTAAAGTATTTGATATTTATTCTCGTATTTTTAGGTGATCAAATATTTTTTGTTTGTAAGTGTTTCTCATCATAGCTACAAAACCTTTACATTTGTTGGATTCTTTGATGATGATGGTGTTATCACCTTTTTTAAGTTTTTTAAAAGCCAGTTGTTCTTGTAAATGTAAATAAGGTTGGCTTGATGATTTCTATGTCTAAATAAAATGTTCCTGATCTTTTTTCTTCACATCCGTGATTTTCATTTTAATATCGTTATTACTGTGGGGAGGTTGTCACTTGTTAGTATCAAAAAGTTGTTTATTGAGACATTTAGAAACTGAATGATTTGGTGCATCTGTAGTTGAACAAATTTCAGAAATGGCAGTAATGTCTGAATCAGTTTCAGTGTTGGCTGTAGTAGAGGTAGAGTATATGATATTTTGCTATATATTACAGTTACTTTTACTGTTTATAGTAAGCAGACCTTTAGTTGTTTCTCTACTTTTAAAGAAATGGTTTCATCGAATAATATAAAAGTTTATTCAAGGGAAGACAGTGTGTTTAAGCACACTTGGTTGGAAAGTTTAATTGTTATTGCAAAACCAGGTTCTCTAGCTAGTAGGTTCAAAGAGGAAGTTGAGATTGCGAAGCTATTTTCTACTGTTACTTGTTTTACTGTTGTCATGTTTTCTTGGTTGTAACTAGCATTTGTAATATAAGTCTTTGATATAATGGTTTGTTCATTATAATATACCTCTACATTTCTTCTCAAGTTTTGAGTGACATTCTTTCATTTCTTTAAATGTGATGTCTGATTTAATGTTCATGAGCAAAGTGTAGAAACTGGGAACTTTTCTTGGGAGATATTTAGAATTATTTAGCTTTTTTGGATTAGTTTTAGCTGTTTATTTTTCTATGCAAATAATGTTGATATTAAGTCATTCATATTGGAAGAGAGAAACCTAACCAACCTTTACTGTGATTTCTGGTTCTCTTTTATACAATCTAGTAGTTTGAAATGGTTCTGAATATCTTTAAGGACAATCTTATGGTGGCAACACTCAATCAGGAAACCAATTTGAGCTGCTATTTTTGTGAGTTTAAAAGTGTAATTTAGGGTTAGTGAGGCTGCACTAAAGATAATGTGGTCTAATTGACAATATTATCTCAAGAGAACATAAAGTGTAATCAGGAAGCCTGAACTGCTGATTCAAGTTATAAAACAGCCAGGTCCAACCCTCAAAAGCCAACTTTCAAAATCTCAGTACACTACTATACAATGTAATATAGCCAACTGTCTTACAGAATGATGTTTGTAATCTAAAGATGGGTGTCTTGTCTCTAATGTTGTTTACCAGCTTATGTGTAACATCTGCCATCACACGTACATTAGGAAAACTAGAAGAACCCTACACACAAGGATAGGAGAACATGTTGACTCTCTTTATAAAAAACAACATGAAAGAAGTATAGTTGCAGATCATTTTTTAACCAATCATGGAGACAAATAACACCTAACATGATTCTCTGTACAAATCCTTACCAAAGCCACCAAGTACAGTGACAGAAAATTGGAAAAAAAAGCTCTTCTCATTGAACAACTACAAAAACAGATAAAGGGACAAAGGATGGAGCCTATAATCATAGTTATTTTATTTTTTCATTTTTTATTTCAATATGTAACTTGGATAGAACTTTTGTTTACTACAGGTAACAGTTAGTAATTTCAACAATTAGCTTTACTATATTAAACACATGCTGTAGAAATGCATGCTATAGATTAAATTACAATTTATTATTTAAACCATTGGAAGCTTTATACTGTCTGTTACAGTCTATGTTTTAGTAGAAAGCTCCAGAATAAGCTGTAAAGTGAGATGTTAGGTGTCAAATTAAAACAAAACAAATTTGGTATTATAAGGTCCTTTATTTTTAGTATTAAAATGTCTTTTGTACACCAATATGCACGACAGAAATTAAATAATGAGTTTTCAAATATTGACCGTATCAGCCATAGTGTAATAGGAAAGACAGAATGAGTAAATTTAGTGGCAATGGGAACTCTCAAATCCTGAAACATCCCACCCCTACTCTCAAATACCATTATACAACTTTGTGCTTAACAACAAACAAACATAATGTCAATAATTTGATTACTTGGATATTTGGAATAATTGAATACTCTAATTGCAATTAATTAATTATTGTTTTGACAATCAATTTAATCATCATTTTGATTAATCACTTAGTTTATGTAATCATTGCTCATAGGTAATCATTTTTATCAATTAATCTATTAAGTTGCCCAGCTCTACTTGTATTACATATTAAAATACTTTGTGCCTGTAACTAATGATAAGTGGTTGATATTTTACTTGCTTACACACCAAATGTGGAATAATTGTACATTTAAATTCTTTGGTATAGGTGAAATATTCATAAATAATATGGTATATGGTATAATATGGTATCTGGTAAATCAGGTCATTGTTACATGCAAATTGCAGGTTTTAATCTGACTATTGCATTCTTTTTTATACCTAAAGTTTTTGATTGTGAAATTCTGTGTTATACATGTGTGTATAAAGTATATATAAACATTTTTTATGCCTTTTTTATTTTGAAAACTCTGTCACAAATATGCACTTTTCTATTTTACTGTTGATATGCTGTTAAAAATATTTCAGATAACTTAAACAAAATGAACTTACATGGAAGTCACATAAGGTTTTCTCCATTACAATTTTTCAAAATGGGTGAAAAAATTCATTGTTTTTACAAAAGTTTACTCTTCTTAATCTTCCACAAATATTTCTATCAGCATATTTGTCTACAAAGTAAGATAAGATATGCAACAGTGACATAAATTTAAGACAATCAGGAATACAAAAATTAGCATAATTAATTTTAATCACCACAACTGGTACAGAATTCTTGCATAAAGTGAAGTACATAAAAAAGTTATAACTGCAGCTGCTTCTCATGACAGTTTGATTTTCTCCACTCAAAAGAATAGCTTTATGGTTTATGAAATTGTACCTGTTGTTCTTGTTCCTGCAAGGTTGTGAAACATTTCATTCTTTATTCCTTAAGAAACTAAGAACTAATTACTTGTAAGCACAGAACTGTTATTTTTCTTGCCTTTTTATGAAACTGTAGAAAATAATCACATATTTGTAATTTTAAGGTATACAGATGGTGTGGACTTGAATTGTGGATGCCCTCAGAGGTAACACTTAATACTTATTTTAGTTTTTTGTGATCATAGTGCTATATTAACTGTGCATATCCTATGAAAGATAGAATACAACTTTCACACACTACTTCTGGAGAGGAGTTTTATTGTACTTTTTAAATTTGAAAATGATGTGTGTATGTTTCTTTGTACATTCTATGTTGTATTGAGAACAAACATGGCAAGTGATTCATCAGGTGAAAAACAAAGTTTTATAATATATATTAAAAATACAGTAATACCAAAAACATCTTTAATATGGACATTTCAGGATTTTCTTAAATTCCATCATCAGCTTTAATATCTCAAAAGAAAAGTTAGTTCATAATTTTCAAACTACAAAAAACAACATTAGTATTGAGCGAGTTTTCATATTCAATTAAAAGTTTAGAAAGAACAGATTTAAATGTTTAAATATGTTCTTTTTAAACTTCTGATTGAATATGAAAACTCGCTGAATACTAATCATGTTTTCCTAACTTGGGGGGCAGTCTCCCTTAAAATCTGCTTGACTTGCTGCCCCAACCAGGAAATCAACTAAACAAATACTTTATGAATATTAAACTTTTATTGAAGAAGAAAACATATTTAGTTGAGCTATACTGCAACTAACAAATTTGTTAATAGATTTTGGCAAATCCAATTCATTTATATCATTCTTCAGGATATAGAAACAAGCAAGTGTAATGGGCAGTGTCCTTAGGGCTCGTCGTTGGAGTTTTGATTATACTGCTGACTATACCAAATTTATTTAATTGAGGATTGCAGTAGCGAGTGGAACTCACAAGTCACTAACTCGAGGAGATTTATGGTTAGACTAAAGAAACTGATCCTGAGACTATAACATAACACAATACATCAAGTCTCCAAGATTTCTAACATGAAATACACTTTTAATAACATAAAACTTGTAATCATTTGATCCTTCTTAATAAACCACTTCAGATTAAACAACATTGGTATTTGTAACTCACATATAAAATGTTTTATCTTTCTCATATGATTCTTTCATAATTTTATCCAAAATTACATTAATTGACTAGGAGAGATAGTAGTTCATTACTTACAACAGAGTTGGACTGGTAAGGCATTGAATGTTGGATACTTTCATGCTCATGGTTTGTAGAGAATTTTGGACTATCATCAGCTCTGGAGAGAACCTCAATTCCTCCTGGAGATCTGATTTTTAGCTCCAGACACAAGTTTTTATACTATGTTTTCTTTGTATCCTTTCGATTTTCCAAGTAGTAAACCTAACTACTCGCAACTATTTCTGACACTTGATTGGATAATTTCTGCAACTAATCGGGCATTTCCAAAACCAGAACCAAAACTCTCAAGTAATTGGTTACTGTGATAGTGAGTGCTCTGGTTGCATTCTCACTTGTGCTATTACTCTGGTCTGTAGTAACAGATCTTACATCAAGCACCAATTTGAGATGCTATCATAAAATTTTTTAGTAG